TTAAATGAACAGGGGCTAAATAAAAGACAAATGTAAGTTTCCTTAATGTTTCCTTTTCTATAATTCCTTGTTTGACCGCCTCTGTGGTCTAGTGGTCAGAGTTCCTGGCTACATATCCAGAGGTTCCGGGTTCGATTCCCCGGTGCTACCAGATTTTCTGAGAAGTAGTGGGTCTGGAACGGGGTCCGCTCAGCCTCATAAGGATAATTGAGGAGGTACTTGAATGGAAAAGTAGCGGCTCCCGTCTAGAAAACCGAGTTTAATGGCTGTGGGGGATCTGTTGTGCTGACCACGCGACACTATCCGCTAAAGCTGGCAGTAACCTCGCCGTCAAGCGTTGGTCGCCCTTTCGGTATTGTTCACTTGCGGACTAAGAAAACGGAGTTCTTTTGTATAATTCCTTATTTATTAGAATCTTAACTCATTATTTTCATATAAGTAGATTCGATAGTTTTTGCAACATTTGTAGGGCAGCGTTTCTGAGAAATCTTTATTGGAGCCATTAGCGCAGGAAGCAGAACTCCAGGATATCCCCCTCGATAGCCTCTGAATCGTGACGATTTGCAGATACTTCGCATTTCACCCCAGCACACAACGAAAGAATGAACTGTCCATCTTGATCACTGGAGGAGAACCCTCTTCTACTCGCGTTACCTGGCATAGCGTCAGAGCTCACGCAATTTCCTAGAGCCTGTAATTATGATATCAAGTAAGCATTTCAGTAGCCTATAAATGCAGCTACCTTCACAGAAGTTTTCAAATTTATAGAGTAAAACTCTTAATTCTGTTATCCTTCAAGGGCTATTAGTCTAATGTATAAGAATGGAACACAGTGAATTAAGTACAATGTGCCTCACAACAATTTTCGGTTGAAATTTCGAAAGCTGGCTATGTAGGCCTACAGGCTGAGAGTTCCTGTGGACAGTCACTTCCGACTTTTATATTTCAAAGCTATGGAAAATTAAATTATTGTTTAATTGAGTTCATGGATTCTATCATAGTTAAAACATTGTTAATTGTCGAAGAAAAGAAGGTTTTGTGTTGCGGTTTAACTGGATACAGAACTCTATGTCTTACCCATGCACCACCATCGCAGTTTACGGTCTATTGTTACCAATAAACACTTTGCTATCTCTCATTACGTTCTAAACAAACACATGTAACAACCTTGTTTCATAGCACTTCTGATTGTCTCTTTTGAATGCAGTCTCTAAGCTACATTTTTATAAAGTAGGAATGTCAAGTGCTAAACACTGATTTGTTTCATTCTGGTCCGTCACACTAACAATTACAAATATAGATCACTCCGTCCAATGTGACCTGTAAGTTTTTTACTACATGAAAACTTAACACCCTTACATGTTTCGGTCTCTGTGGACCATCTTCAGAGGGCAAACATCACTATAATAGGAAACCACCATCACATAAGTTGTTAGACGTAAAGTACGTACACTTATATGCTACAATACATAGTACACAAACATTTCACAAACACAGCAGTTTCCTGGGAATGTAAAGTTTTTTATAAAATTGTATAAAATTTCTTGATGCTAATTAAAATTTTTTTGGATTGTCAATAATTAAAATTCGTAAACCATGCAGGCTCGTGTTCGTCCTCCCATCGTCCCTCTTATATGGGGCAGATATTGTGCCACCTGACTATCTTGATGTGGAGGTTCTTTATATCGTCCAGGGTTTGCTCGTGGCTGCTGTGCTGTTTTCACTGTTTTCAAGTAGAAAAAACTTACAGGTCACATTGGACGGAGTGATTTTTATTTGTTATTTGCTAAACACTGTTTCAGCAAAATGGAAGTTTAATGCCAGTTGGAACCACTGTCACAAGAGAGACAGTTGGATTCACTGTCTTGCTTGTTCATATAACAGAAATATTTGAAACTAAATTCAAACTGTAGTTACCGTTAACTTATTTAATGAGGATATTACACTGAATACGTTATGAATGTGGCGATATTGCGCATATAATAAGGTTCTCTACTAATAACAGAATATAGTCAGCAAAATCAGTTGCACGCCTCGCGTATAACTAGAAACTACCGAACAATTACGAGTGCGTGGACATCAGTTATGGGATACTTCGGGTAAAGTGCGGCAAAATGTTATCATGACTCACGAATAATTACAGGGCTTAACCGCAGTTCCATTCGTGCTCAAGTTAATCTCATATTCCACTGTTCTAACAAACGTTATGAGAAGATTTCAAAAAAAGGTTTTGTTTCTGAAGGAAATAAAAATGTATCTCTTTAGAAGTCTTCCAAGTCTGACGTTAGTTTAAAATATATATATATATAAAAATTATGTGTCTACTTCACAGAAGCTGAGTCTACATTACACACGCCATTCGGTTCTGTTTTAGGGGAAATAAGTGCCTCTCTTTTCTAAGAACCTAACAACACAAGAAGTGCGCTATGTGGACAAAGTGCAGAGATTCTTAATATTAAAGCAGTTGGTACATATAGTATTTCTTTTATTGTTAGTGGGGTGGGACTAAGTCCCTTGTACTGCGGCCACTTCTGGCCTATTGTACCAGCCCCAGATGATAGGTGAGGGTGATTGTGGAGCAATTGGTGGAATGAAGATTGGCAGGGGAAACCTAAGTACTCGGAGAAAACGTGTCCCAGCACCACTTCGTCCACCATAAATCCCACTTGACCAGACCCGGGATCGAACACTGGGCCGCCGCGGTGGTAAGCAGCGACTAACCGCTTGAGCTATGACGCGGCGCTTGGTACATATAGTAACCAATGCGCTACACAGGTTATCTGACGCAAATGATCTAAACGCTTTGCAAGTGAATGACGACTTATCGACTGTATAGATCGAATGGCGTTGACTGTCAGCTTGACTGGTAACGGTCGCTGTCTGTGCTGAGACTCAGCGGAGAGTTACGAAGAAACGTAGGCAAGACAACCATTTGCTGGCAAGCAGTGCGCTCAGCGGCTTTCCGCTTGCCACTCGGCAGGGACATTCTACTCCACTACGAAGATTATACAGGGACAGAAAGATGGGAGGATTATTATGAATTCTGAATCGAGAAGGCTGTGAAAGGAAGCGATGAAGGCTTGTTTAAAAGTACTAAACCCAGAGTCATCTGGATTTATTTTTGACTTATCAGCTTTAGGTCATGTTGGCTCAGTCAGAAAAGTGATGGGCTACGGGCTGTACGGCAGCGGTTCGATTTCCGGCAGGGGCAGAGGACTTATCCCTATTTCATAGTGTCCAGGCCAGCTCTGGGATGGACCCAGCCTCATATCCAGTGGGAACCGGAGGCTATTTCCCGGATGAAACAAGCCCAGCCTCTGTCTACCGTCCGAGCCATGCCTCCATTCCCCCATACGTCTTCATGTCATGGTGCTTAATTGATTAAGCACAGGGATAAATTTACCGGGGCTCTTTACGGTCTTCCATTTGCATTGGTCAGGCAGCGTCAGAGACTATCATATTTATGAATTATAAATTTTGAAAAATGCTGGAGGAAGTGGTGGGGCCCCACATTAAGGTATTTTATTACAATTTTCCTGGTGAAACAGAGAAAACCACGCCATTTCCCAGTGAATATCTTGGTAGAATATTTTAACCCGGGACATCCGAATAAGATGAAGGCATAATAACTATTTTACAGTGTCGTTCGCTAAATTATTTAGGAGGGCCTGGACTGAGGAAAGCGACGAAATTTTCTGAGGCGAATTGGTGCCACGTGTGTGAAAATAGCTTCGTAATTAACAGCGAGTTTCGGGAAATTGCAAAGAATTAAACTGATGTGTGCTAACCGTTTTTAAGAAGGAAGTTAATCTAAATAATTCTTAGACAATTATTTCGTACCTCACAGAAACACTCTGGATCTCCATTACAAAGACTAAATTGAAAAAAAAAAACGCAGTTTAGAATAATAATTGCTGATTATTCTAAGAATCATGCAAAACACATAAATCCCAAGGATCGACAAAATGTACTTGTACTTGTACTTTCAATAATTAAACGATTATGTGAGTTCCGGTTGTCAGGTCATTAAAAATTTGGAGTCCCAATCATTTAATACAACACGCAGACAAGCTATGCACAGAGAGCAGCTATCATCAGTCGTCAATCATCCATCATTATGACCAATTCGTTACAGTTTTTATCAGACTTCTTCAGAGAAAAGGATCGCATCTTGCGGGGGTGCAGACCACCTGTTGAGGACGACGCCGATCGCCATGTTGCAGCACGCAGCTCGGCCGCCACCAGACAGACAGGCAGTCATAGCCGTCGGGCGATTACAGAAACGCCACGGCGCTCGACGCAGTTGCCTCAGCCAATACACGAAGGCTTTACAATCGATTCGCTCAAAAGGAGGCGGGGTCACACTGTATGATTGGTCTCATTCTTTTGTAACCTGTCTCTTTCTGGCGCGCTAATGTAGTGTATTATATTCCCAAAGCGCACAGACGCAGAGACGGTCCATAAACAGATAAAGCAAAGAAGCTGTGATCATTGCAACCTCTTGCAGCTTTCAGTGTGGGCCCGTTCACCAGACTGCCTCAGTGAGGCATAAGCTACCTACAGCAACAATTCCTCACGCCTTTTTCTTTCTTGGTCTTAAAGAAACAGTGATATTTCATAAACACCTTACGAAGTCGCCATAACAAGAAGAAGAAATTGTTAAAATGTAGAATATGAAGTCTCTCTGTTGTCCTCAAAAATTAATTAATTAAATCAGCCGATTTATTAATTGACAGCTCCGTGTGAACTTTCGAAGTGCGTGACAGTTGACACAGAACCAAAAAATACGTGAACCACGTGTCACAGAAGAACGAGGAACCGACAGAATTAATTGAAAATCAATTAAACTTTCATTTACTTAAGAAAGGTTTCAACAATCAACCAACGTTATCAACTGACTTAATCAATATCAAGAGTGTAGTACCCCTAAATACATTTGATATTCATTTCAGTGAAAGTTACATTAAACTTAGAGTAAAGTGGTTTTCTGAGTAGCGCAGTGCGGTGGCCATGTGTTTGGACATCTAACGATCGAACTGAGCATGTGTATCACAGACAGTAAGATGAATTAAACTACCGAAGTGGATAACAAGGTGCCAAGATCAACGACGGCGACGCTCTCCGCCCCGTCGTCAAACTTCCTCAAACATCCTTACTTCTTTTCATCTTCTTCGGGGTCGACTTCGACGTCTTCGACGTCCTCGTCATCAGTATCTCCCCCGATGATGAACGGAGGAAAGCCGCTGCACCCCCAGGAACACATCAAGCGCCCCATGAACGCCTTCATGGTCTGGTCCAGGGGCCAGCGGCGAAAGATGGCTCAGGACAATCCAAAAATGCACAATTCTGAGATCTCCAAGAGACTCGGGGCAGAGTGGAAACTGCTAACGGAAATGGAGAAGAGGCCATTCATTGACGAAGCGAAGAGACTGAGGTAAGCAGAAGATTCATATCGCCACGAAAGGAAGGCCTGTTTCTGGGGACGGATTTCCAGAGGCACACAAGAAATATTTTGCGCAAAAAAACTTTGTTCCCAGTCCGTACGTACGGAAAGAGGCACAGGTTAAAATTATTCACTCATCTCTCTGAATTAGCAGAGTCTAAGTAGGGATTCCTTTTAAAATTGCAGCAGTGTTTCTTTAAATTTTATTAAAAATTTTTTAATTAGTCTAAGAATAAACCCAGACGTATTATAGTTTCAGAAACACTGAGGTCAAAATATATCAAAATATACAATTCTTCGTGTGGTGGCCACAATTAAAATTTATGATCGCTCAGGTTTCACACGGAAAAATTAAAGAGTTTTAAAATATTTACTGTCGCTACTTCGTTTCGTTAGATTACATGACCTTTTATAATATTTAAGCAGAGACTTCTTTAAACTTAGTTAAATTTATATAATCACATGAAGCGTAAACTCCAGAAACATAATCATAGCTGAGTGAGACATCTACAGTTAGCGTAATCTCAACACCTTCAGATACAAGTGACATTTGAGAGATTATTTTCGTTTTAATAAAAATTTCTTAATATCCCTGACGCTTTCTTCTCTTCTTAATACAAGAGTTACGAGGCTCTCGAGTCCCCTTTCCTCATTTGGAACACGGGGGTAAAACAATGGGTAAATGTGTATTCCCATATAAACCCAAGAGATTTCTGGTTCTAACAGCCTTGAATGTTGAGATTATAGCCATCCGGAAGTGACGCTTTTCAGCATGGTTATGTACATGTGTGCCAACTTTTCGGAGGAATCTGCCGCTTTCTTCGCCAAGATGACGTAAAGATGGATGTAGCAGGATCTTCATTAATGTTGGCGCCTCTCTGACACCGCTTGTCAGAAGATCATGTTCAGGTTAACCGTTTAATCAGGAGTAAGTTACGCTCAACTTTAACCAGCAAAACAACAGTTGGCATTAGAACTCTCTGTTCTCGTCCTACCAAATATAAATTCTGATCAATTATATTTTTAGGTCTCATTACTGTCTCCGCCTTTCTTAACCTGTCAAACATCTTCTGAAACTGAGTACATTTATAAAATATCTGGGACAAAACGTACAATTTACTTGCTACAATAAATACGTATATACTAAGTATATTAAAGTTCTGAACGTCATGTAAAATACGCTTACGTTTGTTTTGTCAAGGGAATTTCTAACTTTCCTAATTTCTCGTAATAAATTAAAAAAGAATAAAGAAGCATTGGTAGCAGCTGAGGCATTTTAAAACTGACTTAAATGCAGCCTAAGTATTCCTAAATACTTGACAGAAGGCGGAATTATTCATATGTAACGAACAAATTTAAAATATGGTAAAGCGTTCAACTTACATAGTCAACGAACGACTGAAAGCATGTACTATTTTGACAAAAATCAACATCCTTCATAAACACAATTTTATAAAATTTCCTTTCTAATTCCTGTATATTTATAAATTACTCAAAATGCTCCCGTAATATTTAATTTTCATCTATATTTCCATTCAACTGTACATTAAAAGTTGTATAAGAATTTACTTGTGCTCCTCTTATGTACATCTGACAGAGCAGCTAAGTCCAAATTCAAATGTAAAGTTAAAATTTTCGTGATAGCTGAGTACAATTCGTGAAACAAAAATCTTTAGCTTCTGTACCTTGTTGAGGCTAATACTCAAATGGGCGGGTCTATCAACTCATTTCCATGGAAACTATTATCCATAAAATGCAATGAACAAATAGTATTAATGACTATTCATGTGTCTGATAACTGCGGACACTAGCGACTCTTGTTGTTGCGGTGAGTAAGGGAACGTCGGGTTCCATAGAGGATATTGCATTTCAGTAGCTCAACAACTATTAGCTTCTCAGTAAGGGTCTTGTCTGCCACATGATCTTAATTTACAAACCCCTCCAGACAAACTGTTGCCTAGTACTGTCTGCTGGAACAGACACCAGCCAGAGTCTCCACTTGACCGTTCCATGGGCATATGGTAAACTATATGCTTTCCTCCACTTCGCCTCGCCTCTGGTACATATTCCCACAGAAGGCACCTTAAGGCGCGTCCACCTTACTTGTGCTCGTCGGGAGACTCGTCTGGCTTTTACTTGTGCCCGTAAATCTTCGTCCACACTACTTCAGTTGCTCGCCACGCTTCGGCGCGTGAGGATCCGTATATTTACTCGTAGTGTGTATAGGTTGTAGTCGTATTTTAATCTATTGGCTATAGTTTTTAAATCTAAAATTTGCTTGTCTCGTGACTTTTCATATAGTCCACATTACTGGCGAGCATAGCGAATCACACGAGCACGAGTAATGTGGACGCGCCTTTAGACTAGGCCACACGCGCTCTCATTCGACGCTTAAATTCGACATTCATTCCATTGCTTCATAGACTACAAAAACCATGACGGGGCTGCGTAGTAGCAGAATTGCTTCATGATATATCATTTTTTGAATCCATCTCACTGACGTTTAGCAAGCGGGTGAATTAGGAGGTCGGTAGAGATTAATCCTCTTGTTATTGCTAATCCATCTCTTATTTTAACACTAAAAGATGTAGTGAAATTTAAATATATTAATCTAACCCATATTGACCAATAGCTACTAAGTACTTTTAATCGAAATTCTAACAATATTGATGTGTCGAATCGAGTTTTAGTTTTTTGGATTCAATCCTGAGAATAAAAAAAATCAAGAACTGAACCATCCTACAGGAATTGCAATTGCAATTGCACGATGCGGTCAACCCACTTTCCTGTGGCGACTTTTCTGCCCTCATAAAATTTTTATACCTTTCTCTTGTGAACGCGGTAATGAATCTTAGGGTTCCATAAAATGTTCGATAATTCTTGAGCAGCTGGACAACTGGTGGCTTCTCAAGAAGAACTCAGCTCAATGGAGCCAGTTAGTATAAATTTGAGTTCATGCTCTTCCAAACTTCTAAACCCCTTTGAGGCATGATGCTCATCAATAGTATAATATTTAAAAATTCATTTACTTCTGGCAAGAAAACACCCCGCCTCCATTACCTAAACCAAACAGTTAATGCTGTATAGGGAAATAATTGTTAATTAGTCTGAGGAGCATAAAGAAGCCCGTTACGTTAAATGCAGAGTTGGCGCGCTTTAACTTAGTAATCACTGCACAATAAAGGGCTAATAATGACATAATCCGAAGAGGGACACATGACTGTAACAAGAATGTATGCGTCATTATCACGAATTAAGCTATTGTCCTGTTCCTGTTACGAGAATTAGAAATAATCCATTTGTGGGAGGGGGGGGTCGTCCCTGGTATCTTCTATCCTTCGGTTTACATTGATGCAGTAACCTCTGCATTCGGTTTTCAGAATGATTTCCAAAATGCTCCAGGCATCATTTTACTGACATCTGTTACTGCAGGGTCTTCATGACGTTCACATTCCCTAATTAAGCTCACGTGACTGCGGTCGCCATATTATGTCTATACTCTCGTTCAAACCCATAGAGAAGTTTGGTACGGATGTTACTGTAGCGAGTTCTCGTGACGTTTACTTCGGGTATTTTCATCTTTATAAGGCCTTAACAGTTCTACGTAACTGTTTAAATCTGTTTAGCTTTTTATTGTGACATCCAGACCCGTTGCTAGACAACGACTATGAAAAAAATTAACAACGGCCATTAGTAGCCAGCTGCAAGTAAAAATAGAGGAACAGTGTTTCCTGTGCGGTCCGTGCCGAGATGTTATAAGGAGGACAGTTAGTCAGTCAGTCGAGAGATGTTGTAGCTGAGGCCGGGAGAACCCAGAAGAAGAGGAACGTCCGCAGTTGGAAGCCGTTACCAGGAGACTGGTGAAGACTCAGCAGGCTGAGAAGACTTAAGTGTGTGCCGTAGTGAACTGTGAAGTGTGTGAATTGGTGAAGCGGTTGTAATTATTTGTAGCTACGGATCTGTAAGAGCCCAATAAACCCAATTACCGATCCAAACCCCGTGCATAGTCATTCTCTCATGTCACAATATTAACATCACTATCTCAATGTCTGTACTGCAACCAAATAACAGAGGTTCCACACTTTTCATGATATATATATATATATATATATATATATATATATATGTGTGTGTGTGTGTGCGTCACAACGATTGCGACACAAAAATGTCTTTTGATATCTTATCGCAACCACCAATTTGTTGTGCCCTAATAGGGGTCAGTGACTGTACTCACGCCCTATCGGACGTCCGTGGATAACTCTTAGCCTGTGAGGTGGAAAACGTGCTGCACTGGGGGGGGTCCACAAATAAATCGAGTGCTCACCAATAACAATAAAGTAAAATATAATGAAATAGACACCATTACAACGAACAACCTGTCAATACACACAAAACCTTCGATTAAACCCCGGGTTCCAATTTCCTACATTTAACTGTCCACAATACGCTAAACCTACATGACACAAACCAACACTTTTACTTGTAACTTCAAACTCAGTACACGGATGACATGCTTCTACTGTTTCAGACTCTTCATACAACCAGCAATTATTCTCATTACTTGAATTCTTGTCCACTGCTGCTACATGGTTTCTGCCATTACCCGGAGTCCAGTTACTTTCCACAAAAGGAACCAGCAAATTCATTCCTCCTAGAAATGTGATAGCCAAACTCATTCGCCTCTTCGTGCAAGATTCTGTCATTTTATATGTAACAAATGCATAAATGTTGACGAACAAAACATTCAACTGCACGAGCACTTTCAAATTTCTTTAAATTACCAAACTCACATGATTAGCATTATCTACAACCTCAAACCAACATACCAGCATAAATACAAATGGTTACCATCCAAACTTAATTATTAACCAAATGCTGGTATCTAAACCATCACTCAAAAATTCAGAATTACTCTGTACACTCCAAGGTTTACGCACTAAAACAGTTTAACCAAAATCATTGAACCAGAATCATATATTGACAATCATCAG